TTTCTGTCTCTATGTCTCTGTCTGTCTGGCGAGCGCACGTGCCCTACAGTGAAAATCTCTCCAAAAAAAAAAATTTTTTTTTAAAGAGATTTTTGCTATAAGATGCATGTGCCCACTGAAGAGACAGAAAAAGAAAGCAAGAAATCACCCCCTGGGAGATGGCCATGCCACAGTCCCATTTCTTCCAGTCTTCTCTTGGGATTTTGGGCATGTACACATGTGCCCAGGGTGAGTTAAGCATCGGGTCTGGGTCTCAAACCGCGGTCGACTACATGGAAGTCCAGCGACATAACTTATGCCATCTGCTGGTCCCATCAAAGCTTTTGAAACCTGTGCTGGCCAGGAGGGACCCTCACCCCCAGCACCAGTGGAAGCTGAAACGACAGAGACAGATGTTCTGATAATTGAAGAAATAGGCCTGCAGACCCCAGCAGTGCCATGTGGGCAGGACCAACTCCTGGGAGATCACCTTCTACTTGCTCCAGCCCTTGCCACTGGGTGTCAGGTGCTGGGAAGACTGAGCCCAGCACTCTGCCCACTCTAGGCAAGCTGAGACCTTAAGAAGCCCTGCTAGCCACTCACCTGGTGGGGTCTCGGAACTGGGGATGTAGGAGGAAGCTGGAACCACACTAGGTGTGGAAGGCAGGTAACTTGTGGAGGGCAGTGCAGGCTCATTGTTCAGAGACCCAAGTTTCTAGAAGACAAAAGTTCACAAGGTCCCTCTGGAAGTGGCCCAGGATTTTACTGCATGCTCCCCCCACCTGACACCAGCACTGGATATACTGGCTCCTCAGAAGCCCCAGAGCTCCATCCCCACAGGCTGTCACTCCAGTACTGGAGGACAGCGGGTGCTGCTTTCCCTGGGGTCAAAGGAGGTGGCTTCTCATGGCCACAAGCTCCCTTCCCTGGGCTCAGCAACATCAGACCCCAACCCAGGTCCTGGCTCCCCACCATCCCAAGCAGAGGGGGCTGAGCTGCTGCTATTTAAAGAGACGGGGGTAGTTAGGGATCGCATAGACCAAACATCTTCAAGGAAAGTTCGGCTATGCTTTTTCTTACCAAAAAAAAGCATACTGTAACAGAAAGGCATACTCACTCTAAGAAAATGAGAAAACAGTTATGCAGTAGGCAGAAAGAAACTCATTGTCCCCACACGACTACAAGTAACCAGGCCTTCTCCAGGCCCCAGCTGTGGATGGTTTATCACATCCTTGTGTATGCCAAGACGTTTCCCTAGAGAGAATCTGGAACTAGGGCTGCTCCTAGCTGTTAACCCACCCCACCCATAGGTCTCCAGGACACTGAGGTCTCCAGTGCTACACGTACCACCCCCAACAAGCTGAAACTCATCTGCTTACAACCACCCACAAGACAAGCAGTACCACCCTGCTTGACAGGAAATAGGTGCGAGGGAAAGGAACTCTCTGGGCAGCCTTCTACCAGTGAGTGTGTGTGGCAGACGTTCATCCAAACCTGATCTGATGCCCAAGTTGGGGCCCCTCGGCCCGTGCTGCCTCTCATTTACATACACATACATACATAGTTGCACACATACATATGCATGCACATATTCTCCCAGAGCACACACTTTAGTGGCTAATAATTGGATCAAAAGGGAGCACATACGTAGACTGCATTGGGTGCTGGAGGCAGGCGCTTGTGGTTGTGGGAGTCACCATGGCCGTGCTGCACTAAGCCCTACCTGTGTGGACACCAGGCCTGCTGCATAGTCCGGGGTGGCATTCTCAACAACGGTCTCCTCCTTGGCTGGCTTTTCCACCACTTCTGCATCTACTGACAAAACAAAAGAACTTAGTGGCCCAGCTGGTTCAAATGTTTCAGAAGGGTTGTCCTAACAGGCTCAACTCCAAAGAAGGCCTTCCAGCAAAGAAAAATGATTCCTTGGGCAAGGAGTTGCTATCGAGGAAGAAGTACTACAAGAAGGCGCTGCCCTTCTTCTACTGCCAGCAGCCCGCAAAAGTACCCAGCCGTACCCTGACTCAGCCCCTCAACACAAGTAAGTGGGCCTCAGCACAGAGGCCCAGTGAAGTGTAGCAGGTCCAAATAGCTGCCTCCCCTGCCAGACCCTGACAGGAAGCCCTGGCTACGCACCTAAAGTCTTTCTTCTTCTCTTTGCCTCTCGGCCAGCACCGACCATATCCAGCTCAGAAATATCGAGCAGCTGCCAAAACAAACAGAACTCCACACTTAATGACGATGTGAGCGAGAAGCGAGGCTGATCAAGTTGGGGACATCAGAGAAGATGGGAGTGTTGGGCCCACCTTCACGCCCCTTTCTTTCCGCAGTGGTGTCCTTGAAGGCGGGATTGGGGTCCGGTTTCCAGCAGGGCTGAAGACGCTGGGCGTAGTGGGGCTTCTGAAGGGGGCCTGCTTCGGGATGCCTTTAAGCGGGGCTGCAGAGAGGATGGTGCCTGTCATAGGGAGTCCCAACATCCTTGACTACTAGAGAGTCTGGAGGGGAGGTGGGGCTTGTTTCCTGCCACTCTGTATGTTCTGCCCTTTTCCATAATGAACAGAGGCCGTTCCTGCCAGCCTCTCAGCTGGGAAGGAACACTCAGTTCAGCCTCTGCCAGCCCTGCAAGTCCAGCACTGCTCTCATGGACTCACTGCATCTCTGAGGGCCAAGGGACGAGGAGATGACACATGGCCAGGATATCTGAGATGAGCTCTCCAGACCTTGGGGAGTCAGGGTTGGCCCTTCCCCTGCAGCCAACCAAGGGTTAGGAGTCAGAGCACTCAGAAGAATGACATCATCACAGTCAAGTCATGACATTTCTGCCAAAAACACTGAGCAAAAACAAAAACATCACATCTCCAACCACCTTATCTTAAAATACTAAGTCTTCTTAGCACGACGGAGCTATAAAGCTACAACATAGACACATCACAAGCTAGATGCCCATTCTCCACGAGAACCTCCTTTCTCTACCTAAGCCTTGTCCTCAGTCTAGGGACAAGGCTCAGATCCAAGGTCTACCACTGTGCACTAGGATCTGCCTGCACTGCCCACACCAGGATGCCGCCAGGGCACACCTAGGGCACACACAGTGGCCAGGTCCACTGAACCATGCTGTCAGAACACCGGGTCAAGGAAGGACACGGTGACCAACAGCTGTTCTTCCTCCCCAACCTGGTGGAGCAGAGCAAGGTAGAGCCCTGGCTGTGGTGGGTGGGGATAGGATAGGATGAGGCCACCATACACAGTGACAGTAACTGCCAACACACAAAAAATCTTTGGCCAAGTTTTACATGAAAGATGTAGGGAGGGGACATGCTGTGACAAAATCCCAAACGAGCCCAATGAGATAAGCCCTGAACACCATACGGAGGAGAGGATTCTGCAAGGTGCCCTTCCTGCCTCCATCATGTATGTATCCACTGTTCCCCTTCAGGTGTCTATCCAGTGTCTTCTGGAGGTGGGCTGTGCTCTGGCTGTGGTTCCCAGGGTCAACCTTGTCTTGTCATCAATGTCCATTCTGTTAAGTTTGTGCCCAACCCTGAGAGAGTGACACACACACATCAAGGACAACAAAGGTGCAGGCCTAAGAATATGTGAAGTCTGCTGGCAACACACAGCACCTCCCTCCCTGCTCAGTCTCACGAAGCAGGAGAACTGCACTGCCCCCTCCACATATTGCCCTGGCCCTCCTTCATCACCTGGGAAGAAAATCAGCACCCGAGAGCATGCCCAGCCACACCTGCAGAAGGCCACTATGGACAACAGAGGGACAAAAGCACATATTTTTCCTTGAATTCTAGTCTTCCTTGTCATAGTACATAGGCACATACCTCCAGGCCTCTAAGCAGAAAAGCCCATAAAAACCAATCCTAGGTTCTTTCTGCTCACCTCATACATGCTCACCAAGAGACCCAGCAGGGACCTTCAGGGCCTCTCACCTAATCAGTTGTAACATTTAAATTATTTTCCCAATAAGGGAAAATGGTGTCTTTCAGGTAAAACCCTCATATCTGACCAGTAATAAGTAGTTGTGACCCGAAGCAAGCCCTGACATATAACAGAGATGTCTCCCAGCTCTGTGGGTTTTATCTCGAGTGTGAACCACTGGGAGCACAGCAAGCACGGCCTACTTGTGGTGTCCATCTTCCGAAGCAGCCCCCGGCCCTTGGCGTGGAAAGGCACCCCTGCGCTCCTCTTTAGTTGCTGGGCGGTCTCTGTGGCTGCAAGATAAGATTGTGTGTCAGCGCTCATCAGAATGACTGTGCCTTTCACCCACGTAAACCAACCCTAAACTCACCCACATATATGAGTTACAAGTGTTCACACAAAAAGGCTAATTTTTTCCCAACAAGCAGCATCCTCTGAGAAGCCTAACATAAGTTCAAGTGTCGTAACTAGCCTTTTCGGTGTAAAAAACCCTTTCATATCAGTGTGCCCCACAAGTTGCACGGCTGCATTTCCCAAGTGACACAGCAGGAGCAGAGGCCAAGCAGCCAGAATCCAACCGTGACAGCAAGAGGAGGCAGAAGAGGATGAGCAAAGGGCTTCTGCCTCCCACTGGCCACATGGAGACCCTCAGGACAGCCCAGGCTCCCATGCTGGGGACATAAGCTTGTCCCCATGGCCCTGTTCAAACATCATTCCCCCTTCTGAGAGTCAGAAGGTACAGTCTAGGGTTTTTCCCCTCAGAGATGCATAAACATAAGGAAGACATGAAAGAGAGGTTTTTTGGTTTGTTTTTATGGATTTTTGCTATAGGGCGTGCACTTGCTGGAGAGACAGAGACAGAAAGACAGAAAGTGAGAAATCATCCCCCAGGGAGTATGGCCACACCACAATCCCTTCTCCTCCATTCTCCTCTCAGGATCTTGGGCACACATGTACACACTCCTGGCCTGAGTTTTTTAAGCTGCTGAGTCTGGGACTCGAACTGCCATTGACCATGTGAGAATCCAGCAACACAACCATTACACCATTTGCTGGTCCCAAGAGATTTTCCTGAATTGGCTTGGTAAGGCTGGAGGGTAAGGGGATTCCCACTGTGGGGTGTAGAGTCTGAAAGACCAAGTAGAGATCTATAGAGGCTGCCCAGAGGCCATGCTGAACCACTAGCCCAGCACTGGCCCCAGGACACTGTCCATTCCAATCAGTCATAGGTGGACATTGGGGATGTTTTATGCAGATTCTCTGAAGACAGTATTTGTGCATAAGTTCTATAAGCATTCAAAATACTGGTCCTCAGAAAGGTCATGACACATTTTTGCATAGAAAAATATATCATGACCTTTCTGATGACCCAATGGAACAACTTATTAATATCTGCATTTTAGGGGCCAGCAGATGGTGTAGTGGTGATGTTGCTGGACTCCCACCTGGTTGATTGTGGTTCAAGTCCTGGACCCAGTGGCTTGAAACTCATGCAGGCTGGTTGTGCATGTGTGCCCAAGATCCTGGGAGGAGAATGAGGGAGAACGGATTGTGGTGTGGTCATCTTCCCTGGGAGATGATTTTATACTTTCCTTTTCACTGTCTCTGTCTCTTTCTCTTTCTAACAAGCACAAGTGCCCCAAGGCAAAAACCTCTACAAAAAAAAAAACCAACCAACCAACCAAACAAACAAAAAACTCCAGCATTTTGTTATTTGATTAAAGGAATCAGTTCCTTTGTCCCTTTCTCAGCAAACATTTCCCACACACATTTTATTAATTTTGTTTTAGAGAGACTTTTGCTATAGGGCACATGTGCTCGCCAGAGAGACAGATATCACCTCGGGGTGAGGTTGGAGGGATGGCCACGCCACAATCCCTGCTCCTCCATTCTCCTCTTGGGATCTTGGGCATGCTTGTACACACGCCCAGTGTGAATTCAAGTCTACGGGTCTAGGACTCAAACTGCGGTTGGCCATGTGGAAGTCCAGCAATATAACCATTATGCCATCTGCTGGTCCCACACACACGCTTTATAATATACTATTTGGAAAAACATTAATAAAGGTAACCTGAGACAACTGGCAACTCAAGAACAAGATAAAAACATGAAAGTAAAGACAGTGCTTCTCTTAGGGCAGCCAAGATCCAGTCTCTCACTACTTACTGCCTGCCGCTTATTGGGGAGGTGTTGGCCACGTGACTCAGTTGACACAGATTTCATTTTTATAACAAAGATTACAAATATCTTAACCTGAAAACTGAGTTCCAAAAGTGTGTTTTTAGAACACACAGCATAGTATAGCATAGTAAATCATTTTTAATTATTTATATTTTTAGGTGTTTGTCATAGAAGGTGTGCACATGTGGGAGAGAGGGGAACTAAGAAATCATCCCCTAGCGGGAATAGCCGTGCTTCAGTCCCTTCTCAATTCTTCTCTGGTGATTTTGGGTACTCATGTACACACACGCAGTGTGTTTTTCAGGTCACTGAGTCTAGGACTTGAACTGAGGAATTGGCCATGTGTGATCCATCGCCTCAACTACCACACTACCTGTGGGACCAACAATATAAATTTTTAAACAAAAGTTTATGCAGATCTCTGATTATGTTCTTGAGAAGACAGCCTAGGACTCTTAAAATCTAAAAGAAATCTACAAGTAAAAACTCCAGAAAGACAAAAAGACAATTTGCTTACATCAGCCTTCCCAAACTGGCAATGGGCCCATGAGGCCAGGTGCGTGCTAGGGACACTCACACTTCTGCAGGAGCTCCGCCCTCAGTGTGGCACTCTTGGGTTTCCGCTTTAACTGAAAATGCTTCACCGGGGGAGTGAGGGGTCCAGCAAGGGTCGTCAGGGCGTTTTTGTTCAAGTACTGGCATTCCAGCGGCAGCATGGCAGACGCTTCACACTCGCTCACTGCATGGCAAGAAGCACACAGCAATCAGGGGCACTTTTCCAGTACTGGGGTGTAAAGGCAGCTGAGGCTGTAATGCTCACAGTTGATGTGAATAGCAAAGCAAAATGCAAGGTCATTAGTATTCGTAGTAGAGATAGCGCCTGCTTTGTTTCAAGTCTCCTGTGGTCCACAAGACTGACCTCCCCACAGTTCCCACTCTGCCATCCCCAGGGGCCAAGGCCAGTTGACAGAGATGGGCACCCGCCCCAGGGGTCATCAGAATCCCTGAGTGAGAAAGGGGTGCTTTAAAAGACAAATGCCTGGAGACAGGATGGGAACATCTTGGTTGGTCCATTAGTTTTAAGTTGGGGGTATGGCTGGTGTTAAGAACCACAGGTCTGCGTGAACATAAGCATTTCTAGAGAGGCTTAATGCTCTCCTAAAACATCATCAAGTTTTAGTGAAATGTCACAAGCAATAGGAAGAATAAGTTGGCCATCACAACCTTCTCTCTTCTAGTCCCCATGGGCCCCAGATGGTTGGTTCGCCGGGACCCTGCCCACACCTGTTTCCTGAGCCTGTACACTCATGCAAGGGTCAGAGCTCAGGAAAAATCCCGGGGGGCAGAGGAGGAGGTTCCTACTCCCTAAATTAGACCTGCAAATACTTTCTAAATGGTTTTCAGTTCACATTCTAAACTGAACTGTTGGTATTTTCAATGTGTTTCTGAGCACTACTCTGAGATAAGGAATGTTCTAGGCTCTGAATGGGCAGATTAGGAAGAGATAACAAGCAAACATGAAAACAGTAATTCTATAATACAATTTCAGATAAAGCAAGTACAGTGAGGGTAGGGCCTGCAAGCTGTTACAAGCTTGTTTTTCAAAGAATGACAAAAAGCAGTATTTGGAGGGATATGGGTATAAAGTTATTACTTCAGAAACCACAACTCAGGGTCAACAGATGGTGTAGCAGTTATGTCGCTGGACTTCCACATGGCCAACTGCGGTTTGAGTCCTGGACTGGTGGCTTGAAAACCACACGGGGCACATGTGCATGCATGCATGCCCAAAATACCAGGAGCATGGAGAAGGGACTATGATGTGGCCATCCCCCAGGGGGTGACTTCTCACTTTCCTTTTCACTCTCTCCAGCAAATCAAATGCACATGCCCTATGGTAAAAAGTTTTTAAAAACAAACAAAAAAAGAAACCATAATACGCAACATAGTAAAAAGCTTAATTAATTCTAAATATCAAATACATTTTAGAAAAAAAAATTTAAAGGAAGATCTATTTTCCTTTTTTAAAAAGAATTATTTATTTAATTTTATTCATTCATTCATTCATTTATTTAACCAGACAAAGACAGACACACAGAAAGAAGGAAAGTGAGAAAGCAAGCCACCAGGTCTGGGACCCGAACAGCGGTTGGTCATGTGTCCAGTGCCTTAACCACCATGCTACCTGCTGGAAGATCTATTTTCTTTCAACATAAATTAAAACCATTTGACATACCTTTTTCTCTAAGTTCTCCTAAAATATCTTGAACATTGGGATTTTGCTCCTCAAGGTCAAGGTTAAGTGATCCTGTGTCAGGAAAGGACTTGAGAATGTCAGCAACCATGAGAACCCAAGGGTCAGAGTCCAGGGTGGCGAGCTGGATGATCTCCATCAGCGCACTCTTCATCTGTAAGAGGAAAGCTGTGTTGTAGTTCCACCGGCCACCCACTGCCCACTTTGAACCACTGGTGCTTCAGGATGGGCATAGGGCAGTAGCCAACATCCATGGCAATCACCCCCTGATGCTCACACTCTCTCCCCTTCCTCTATATCCCCCACCCCAAGGCTATCCCATCTCTGAGCTTCCAGAGCCTCTATCAGTAGCAATGCCCATGGTGACATCTAGTGCCTTCCATGATCTCCCAGACACCTCCTGGGAGCACCCATTCCTCCATGCCTGCCTCCCATCTGGCATGCGCATGTAACAAATCATGAGGGCCAACAATCAGAGGCTGGCAATACCCCCTTTAGATGCTAGGGGCATCTCAGGTGTGAAGAGCTAAGCCCAAGAACAGTAAAAGGGACCTGGCAGGCAGGAAGGTGGCCCCAACATATTCAGCAAAGCAAAGGGACCCATGAGTGAGCCTCACTCAGGGGAAGGAGTGCATGCCTGGGAAGGCAGAAAGGACCTGGAAGCCAGGGCAGCCTCTGTGATAGCTCAGTTGAGTAGCTGTCTATGACGTGCCTGCTGCCTGGTCAGAGATAGCTGTCTTGAGGGCTGGGCAGAGCTGTGAGTCAGCAGGAGCTGCAATTCAAGGCTCCTGGAGGGCCCCGCAGGACCTGGAGCCAGGATCCACACTTCCCACAGTTGTGTGAGTGGGTTCACATTTTTCTCTTTGGACAAAGAAAGAGAAGCACTACCGGGAAGCCACTGCACCAGAGTAAGGGCAACATGGGGCAGAAGGAGCTGGTGTCACAGCTGCTATGCCCAGGAAGCTCCATCCTTCTCTAAGCCACTCTCTGCCCTACCCCAAGAAGGCAGGCCCATCTGGGCAGCTTCAGCCACATAAATCCCTTCCACACAGAAATGTCAAGGGCCGTACATGGTGTGTCACATTCCTCTTGCCTCCACCATGGGATCAGCAATGTCTCCTCTGACGGGGCTGCTCAGAATAAAGAGTCATGGGCAAAGCCACAGCCCTACGAGGGCCTATCACCATGGGGTGGACAGCAGAGTCCAGCTCTGCACAGACACCCAGGCAGGAACCCAAGCACGAGAACTCCTGATGTTCCCTATCCCACTTCAGCTTCCAAACTCTTCTCGTAAGAGGGCTAAGCAATTCACTGCCACCACTGACATGCCATCTTGGGGCACCTTTGCAGTGGGGAACCTGGGATCCCATTCTCTGTTCCTTGCTTCTGCCACTGTCCCCACCCCAAAGCCTTATGTTGATGCTTGTCTTACTTAGTTCAGGCTATAACAAAACACCACAACCTGAGTGGCTTATAAACAACATAATATTTCCAGTCTGGAGACTGGAAAGTCCGAGAGCAAGGTACTGGCAGATTAGGTGTCTGGTGAGGGCCCATATCTTGGTTCACAGCAGGACTTCCATGTGGCAGAAGGGGTAATGAAGCTCCTTTGGGTCTGTTTTATAGGGACACTAATCTCATTTATGACGGCTCTGTCAGCATGACCTGATTATCTCCCCAAAGGCCCCATTTCCTAGTATCATCACCATAATGGCTACGAGTTCAACACAAGAATTTTGGAGGGATACAAACATTTAGACAATAGCAAAGCTCTAGTTCCCAACTGGTGGTATTTGGAAATGGCACCTTTGGGAAGCAGTTAGATCAGAACAATCAAGCCCTGGTTTGATGGAATCACCTCCCTCTGTCCCACTCTGCGAGAGCACAGTGAAAATGCAGCCAAAAGGTAGCCTTCTGCAAGCTAAGAGAGGCCTCACCAGAACCTTGAAGGGCTGGCATCTTGACCTCAAACTTCCAGAACAAAGAGAAATAAATGCCTATTGTTTAAGCCATCTAATTTGTAGTACTGCTAGAGTAGCCTACACTAACTGGTATCTCTTAACAAAACCTTCAACCAGAACCCTGCCTTTAGGCCCCAGCCAGGTGGTCCAGACCACAGTATATTAGACTGCAGTGCCAGAAGTCACATGGCTAAACTATGGGTCGGATCCCTGGATCGGCCTAGGAACACACCAGGCATGCAAGTTGGTTACCAGAAACCTAATGAGCTGGAGAACTGGGGTGAGGGGGTTGCAACACCATGAGACCCTACTGATGGTGCCTTCTCTCTCCCCTTTTCTAGTGAGTGCACATGTGTGTGTGTGGGGGTGCTCACTTTATTAGTGCTATCATTAAAGAAAACAACTCTGTGGGCCAGCAGGTGGCATGGTGGCTAAGGTGCTAGACTCCCATATGGCCAACAACAGTTCAAGTCTTGGAACCGGGTGGCTCGAAAGTCACACCAGGCACATACACATATATGCCCAAAATCCCAAGAGAAGAATGGAGAAGGGAATGCAGTATTGCCGCCCCCCTTCAGGGTGATTTCTCACTTTCCCCCTCTCTCTGGTGAGCACACACACTCTATGGCAAAAACCTAGGAGAAAAAACAAAAACTCCAAAACCCTGCCTCCAACCATGTTCTCATGTTTACTACGTCTCTGCACAATTAGTGAATAAACATTTACAGATCTCCTATAACTACGAGTACCATCTCATAAAAGGCTCAAGGACTAGTGGGGACAGAAAGACTCATAAGAGGCTTCTGATTCTTGCCAAAGGGGTAACCTGGCATAGGCTGCCAGAACATTATACACACACAATCGCACCATAAGTACACAAGGAGAACTGGCTTGTACATAATGCCTGGCTGGGATCCCAGGGCTCAGAACAAAGAGAAAAATAAAACTGACTCTCAATCCTCCAGCACGTGTTAGGACAGACTTCTGATCCTTAGCGACCTACCTATGAGCAGAACCACAAAGTGAAGAAAAACAAGAGGCATATACCTAGGCCCAGCCTCGGTGGTACAGAGTGTGGGTGCTGTTGCATGGTGGCTGAGACTGCATGGGAGGCCCAGGTTCAATTCCTGGGCCAATCTAAATGGGCCAGACACAGTGGCACATGCTTGTGGTCCTAGCTAACTAGGAGGAAGCTTGAGGCTAGGATTGTGACATGGCAAGATACTGTCAAAAATACTCACCCTTGGGGCCAGCAGGTGGCATCATTAAGGTGCTGGACTCCCACATGGCCGACTGTAGTTCAAGTCCTATACTCTTCGGTCAGGAATGCATTGTGTGCATGCCCCAAATTCCAGGAGAATGGAGGAGATAGTATGGCCATCCCTGTGTGTGTGTGGTGGGGGGGTGTGTGGGGAATTTCTCATTCTCTCTCTCTCTCTCCAGGGAGTACATGTGTCCTATGGCAAAAACGTTAATAAACAAACACACACACAAAAACCACCTTTTAAGAAAACAAAAACAATTATTTTATTTCACTTTATTTATTTATTTTAATTTGACCAAGGAGGAACCAAGTGAGAGCAAGAAAACAAGCTGCCAGGTCTGGGACTTGAACCGCAGTCTACCATGTGGGAGTCAGCGCCCTTAATCACCACGCCACCTGACAGCCCCACAAAAAACTTTTATTACAAAAAAGAGGGAGCGGGATAACCTTATAGTATTGTCAACTGGACTGGCGAGAAATGTACACATGTTGGAATTTTCACCTTGCAAGCTAAGTAAGGTGATTGAATGTATAAAAGAAACTGAAATAATAATTAAAAAAGAGAAAAAAGAAGGAGCATGCCTAGTGGCATTTTTTTTTGGAGAGGTTTTTCCGCTATAGGGTGCGTGCGCTCGCCAGGCAGAGAGAGACAGAGAGACAGAAAGCGAGAAATCACCCCCCAGGGGGGATGGTCACGCCACAATCCCTTCTCCTCCATTCTCCTCTCGGGATCTTGGGCGGGCATGCACGCACACGCGCCCGGCGTGAGTTTTAAGCCACCGGGTCCAGGACGTGAACCGCGGTCGGCTACATGGGAGTCCAGCGACATAGTCATTACACTAACTGCTGGTTCCTCCTAGTGGCATTTTTAAAACAAGAATTATTTTTTTTAACTTTACTTATTTACTTACTTACTTATTTTTAATTTGACCAGAGAAATACAGAGTGAGAGCAAGAGAGAGAAAGTGAGAAAGCAAACTACCAGGTCCAGGACTCGAACCATAGTCGTCCATGTGGAGTCCAATGCCTTTAACCACCATGCTACCTGCCAGCCCCAGCAAGTGACTTCTTAAACCAAACTTCAAAAGCACAACCCATGAGCCAAAAAATGTGTTACTATGTATTAAAATTAAAGGTTTCTGTTCACTGAGGGACAAATGAAAGAGTGAACAGGTGGATGACATGATAGCAGAAGAAATCTATAATGTTCAAAACTAGCAAGTATTTAATACCCAAAATATACAAAAAGCCCCTGCAAATCAATAAGAGGTTAGCAATCTCATTAGAAAAATGAGCAGATGCTATTAACAGGCAATTTATGAAGAGTAAATCTATAAAGGTAATGAGCAAAGGAAGAGAAAATTCAAAGTGAACACAACATGGTGACACTTTTCAACCATTTGATCTGCAGTAACAGAAAACTAGGCAATGCCATGTACCAGGGGAGGAGGGGAGGGGGGGCTGTACAAAGGCCCTGCCTATGGAAGTGTGGATACCACAATGTCACCACTTCAGCGAAGTATGCAAACACATGTTCCATGACCTAAAAATTCTAAATAAACCTTCGACAGTAATCATTGCAGGAAAAGGGGGAGACATAAGAAGCTACAAAGCTGTAGCAGGCAGAGCTGGAGGCAGCTGCCAGCACACTGGCGAGCTCAGATGTGATTAAGGTCAGAAGTCAGCACACTTGCTTTGTACAAGGCCAGCAGGTGGACAGTTTACAGACTACATAAAAGTATTATTTTTCTAGGGTCAGCAGGTGGTGTGGTGGTGAAGGTGCTGGACTCCTACATGGCCAACCATGGTTCGAGCCCCAGATCAGGCAGCTTGAAAATCATGATGGGCACATGTGCCTGTGTGCCCCAAATCCTGAGATGAGAATGGAAGAGAAAGGGTTACGCCATGGCCATTCCCCCAGAGGGCAAT